CACAGGAGGGGGCTAAGCACTTCCTCCCAGTCATAGACAATAACCTCCAAGTGTCTCACTTTTTGAATGGCCCGCTCTGAGCCACTCTCCTGTCCCCTACAGAACTGCACCCAGCAGGGGTATCTGGAACTTTACAGGGCTGAACCAAACAGTCTCCTTTTTGGGTGCGGTTCCCACAGCCTGCAGGAATGGGTGACGGGCACTACCTTTCTTTCTCGGGACAATGACTTGGAATTCGCAGGAAGCTTGGATCTGCCTCTCCACAATGAAGTCACAGAGTTCAGCACTCATCTATCTGTGTCCCTGACAGAAGTCTCCCTGCAGACACCATCCAAAAATCCCAGCTCTGTATAGCACTGGTGCCCCTGTACTACCCAACCAAGAAGGAGGGTACGGAAAATCAGCCCTAGAAACCAAGATAGCGGCATAGGTAAACACCAGAAATTGCTGCCTCGCACAACCACTTCAAAAATACAACTAAAAGACAAAACGAACATCATCCAGAATTACTATGCTTCATTATGTCAAATTAAAATTTTATGCAGGCAAATTACCACCTGTGATATTTACATAAGATCAACAACAAGTATATATTTACATAAGAAAATAATAACAAGGAGATAAAGTAAAGAATCAACTTTTATTGTTAACAGCTGAAATTTGAAGACATCTCAAAACAAGTATTTTGGCCACATTCATATTGTATTGGTATTATGTCCATGGACAAATATAATACACTTATTAGTAGAAAAAAATGTTTTTCTACCCTTTATACTCTCGTTGAAATTTATTTCTAACAATACAGTACAGGATAGAGACCAAGATGGCGGCATAGGTAAACACCGGAGACTGCTGCCGCAAACAACCACTTCAAAAATACAACTAAAAGACGGAACGGACATCACCCAGAACCACAGGAAGGCTGGCTGAGGAGAGACTCTTCAACTAGAAGGAAAAATAACAGCACACCGAGGCTCAGAGGAGGCGCAGTGTGGAAAATACTCAGGTGCGGAGGTGCGCGCGCAAAGCGGGCTGGTGGCTGAGAGCGCGGTTGTCGTTTTCGGTCAGGGGGGAGTCTCAGACTCTGAGCTCCAGATACGGGCGAATCGCTGGGGACTCAAACGGGAGAAGCGGGAGTGTCTGGCATCAGTTGGAAGGCAGCTTTCCCTCCGAGGTTTGCAGCGGTTCCTGGGGTTCTGAGAAGCAGAGCCTCTGGGAACGGGACTGAGAGGGGCCATTACCGCTCCCTCCGCCCGCCCTGCCCTGTTGATCCCGCCCCGCCCAAGCCCTGCGCAGAGCCATTTGCCAGATCGCCTCAGGCAAAGGCTAGATTAGCACCTCCCCAGAGGACAGAAGTTTTCCGCGGCAGACACAGCTGATTCACACAGCCAGTCGGCCTGGTGGTCAAATCCCTCTAGTATTAACTACAACAATCAAGGCTCAACTAGAACAAGACTGCGCACAAAGACCACTAGGGGGTGCACCAAGAAAGCATAAAAAATGCGGAGACAAAAAAACATGACAGAAATGGAGGATATAGAGCTAAAAAACGCAATTTTGAGGGCTTGCAATAAACTTTTGGAGAGCTTCACGAAAACTAATGAGACCCTCGATGCTATGATAAAGAAACTAGAAATTAAGCATACACGCTCTGAAATAAAGAATATTACACCCAATAGCAGACCAGAGGAGCGCAAGAATCAAGTCAAAGATTTGAAATGCGAAGAAGCAAAAAACACCCAACCGGAAAAGCAAAATGAAAAAAGAATCCAAAAATACGAAGATAGTGTAAGGAGCCTCTGGGACAGCTTCAAGCGTACCAACATCCGAATTATAGGGGTGCCAGAAGATGAGAGAGAGCAAGATATTGAAAACCTATTTGAAGAAATAATGACAGAAAACTTCCCCTACCTGGTGAAAGAAATAGACTTACAAGTCCAGGAAGCGCAGAGAACCCCAAACAAAAGGAATCCAAAGAGGACCACACCAAGACACATCATAATTAAAATGCCAAGAGCAAAAGACAAAGAGAGAATCTTAAAAGCAGCAAGAGAAAAAAAGTCAGTTACCTATAAGGGAGTACCCATACGACTGTCAGCTGATTTCTCAACAGAAACTTTGCAGGCCAGAAGGGAGTGGCAAGAAATATTCAAAGTGATGAATAGCAAGAACCTACAACCAAGATTACTTTATCCAGCAAAGCTATCATTCAGAATTGAAGGTCAGATAAAGAGCTTCACAGATAAGGAAAAGCTAAAGGAGTTCATCACCACCAAACCAGTATTATATGAAATGCTGAAAGGTATCCTTTAAGAAGAGGAAGAAGAAGAAAAAGGTAAAGATACAAATTATGAACAACAAATACACATCTATCAACAAGTGAATCTAAAAATCAAGTGAATAAATAATCTGATGAACAGTATGAACTGGTGATTGCAATAGAATCAGGGACATAGTAAGGGAATGGACTGACTATTCTTGGGGGGGGGGAAAGGGGTTTGGGGGGTGCGGGAAGAGACTGGAAAAAAATTGTACATCTATGGAGGAGGACGGGGGGGGGGGTCAGGGCAGAGGGTAGGGTGGGAATCGGGTGGAGGGGAGCTATGGGGGAAAAAAGAGGAACAGCTGTAATAATCTGAACAATAAAGATTTAATTTAAAAAAAGAAAAAAGAAAAAGAAAATCAGCCCTGTGTAGGATTCCTATCTCTCCATGTGGCTGGTCTCAACAAAAGTGGGGTCCAAATTCCCAGCTCTGCTCGGGGTCCAAACCCTGCAGTTCAGATCAAGAATCCCAGACCTGTGCTGCTCCCAGGCTATGTGGCCAAACCAGCAGGATGGGGAAGTCTGCGTGGTTCCATATATGGAGGGAGGAGCTCTGACCTTGCACTCAGGTGGGAAAGACTATTTTTTTATTTCAAGATACACAGTTTATCACTGACTGGGTTTCTGTCAAATGACTTTCTAGAAAGTAGAGAGTCCTTCAAAGTTACTGTTGGTTGTAGCCCCCAGATCTGTCTTTTGCTGGAGCCAAAGACAGCTGTGCAACCTCTCTAGCGATAGGAGTCTGGAGCGAACTTCTCAGGCTGGGGCTGCTTGCAGTAGGAGTGCTTGTTCACTGGGACGATGTGACCCAGGCAAACAAAATCTCCCTGATTCCCTCTACCTGATGCTCTGTGGGCTCTTCTGTTCATCTCTGTTGCTTTTGGTTGGGGATCCCTGCATGGGGATCCCAGGGGGAGGGAGCTTTGTAGCCAGAATATCCCTCTGGCCACTTAGCCGCTGCACCTGCTAGAGGGGGCTTTCGCTTTCTGCATCTCCGTTCCTCTTACAAGTCTCTACATGGCTTCTTCATTGTTCCTTAAATATTACATTTTAGATCAGTTATACTTCAATTGCTCAATAGTTTAGCTGTAAATCCAGTCCATGGCTGGGAGCAACTGCAGGCAGCCTCCAGCTGCTCTGTAGCTGTTTTGAACCTAAATTTGCATACCCTTTAATCAAGAAATGCAGATTTTGGAAATTAATCCCAAGGATCTAATTTGGTATATATCCGTAAACAAGATATTTTTTTAATATTTAGAAATTATTAAGAAGGTTTCATTGTTTGATTAATCATTCCATCTACATGATGGGTCACTGTGAAACAATCACAATGGCTGGTAGACCTATTTTACCTAATAATAATGATAATACTAATAATAGCTTATAGCGATTGAGCCCTAAATGGCATTATTCTAAGGGCTTTACATACATTAAAATACTCCCCCCCCCCCCCCCCCAACACACACACACAAACTAGAAGAATGGGAAGGGACTATAGAGAAAACTTGCTTTCTCTCTACCTATACAATTCTGTATTATATGAATTCTTAATAAGATTTGTGAATTACTTCTATGATAATCAGTAATAATGATATCATTTTGAAGTTACTCTTTTATAAAATTATAATATATACTATTAAACCCCATTTTACTTGAGACTCTGTGCTGTATTGGAGCTCCTCCTAGGCTTGCAGAAGCTGATTCTATGCAACTTTTCCCAGCATGGCTATCAGTGACTTCACACAGGCAAATTGAAATTGGCTATGGCAGGATTACTTACACCATGAAAATTGGCAAACAAAACAAATCAGGGCCCTTTTTTATAAAACACAGTCCTGGTTTACCAGCACACCATTGATAGTGAGCCTCAGAGAGTTCTCACCATTTTTCCCTTTCTCTCTCCTTCCCTGCCTCCTTCCTCCCTGCCTTCCTCTTTTCTTCCCTTCCTCATACCTCTTAGATATGTTTTAGATATTTACTGATTTTATGGAGTTAGAATTAGCAGAGATAACAGTTATTAAACAACTGTATAAATAATTATATAGATATGTTATGATAAATGCTAAAAATGGGGAGAAATAAATAGAAAATGACATGAGAGTTTATTAAAGGGAGATCTACTCTTGTCTGAGTTAGCAAAGACTTTTGGGTATTGTTGTTTGTTTTAATTAAAATTGAATAGTTATATTCAATCTTTTCATCTTTTAATTAATCTATTTTTTGGTATTTTACTCACTAACCAGAATGTAATAGAGATGAATGTTCTTTATTATTTTTTCTGGAAGATAATACTTTTTTGAGTATGTGGATGTTGATACTTAAATGTAATAGTCTGATCCTTGCACATTATCTGTTCTCCACATTTATTGTTATCTGTAGAAGGCACTATGCATAAGTAACTCGACATGACTGGTAATATTTTCATCGGCATTTTAAAAGTGCACAAGGAGGTAAAAGTTGGTTTAGTGGTTGATGTTTTTTAAATTATTTGACAAACTTTAGTGCTTTCTCATGTTATAGGAATTTATACAAAAATACTTTTCTCAGTTTGATCTATCTAAGAATAGAAATCCCAAGCTTGTAAATTTTCAGATGCATTTAGTTTTCTACATGTTTTTTCTTCCCTCTCCTTGGCTCTAGAAGTTTTTTTTTTATAACTCTTTCCTCTAATAATCAGGCTCAGTCTCAAGGAGCAATTACATTTAAGATCATACCCAGCATCAAAGAGGAGACACCATCTAAAGAAGGCAAGGTAATTATTACTTTAAAATCTTTCCTGTGGAGGGTGAGGGGGCTAATGTGTTTTTCATCTACTACATATCTTCTTTGTCATGACAAGTTTATTTTAATATTCTTTTTTAAAATTGTTCTTAAATCAGAGTTAGAAGAATGTTGGCCATTTGATATTTTTTATATTTATTCATTTTAAATAAAACTTTCTTCCAGATGTTTATCAAAGCCCTCTTTGACTATGACCCTAATGAGGATAAAGCAATTCCATGTAAGGAAGCTGGGCTTTCTTTCAAAAAGGGAGATATTCTTCAGATTATGAGCCAAGATGATGCAATGTGGTGGCAAGCGAAGCATGAAGGTGATGCCAATCCCAGGGCAGGCTTGATTCCTTCGAAGCACTTCCAGGAAAGGTGAGCTACTGGCACGTAATGATGGCCTTTCTTCAACTGACCTTTTGTTCTCTGCAAAATATCACTCAAGCATAGTTGTGATAAAATAAGCACTAAAATCTTGCCTTAGAGTCCTTTATCCCTCAGATTTGGATTTCTGTTTTGTCTGAGTATGAATAATGACCAAAAATAATATGACAGTACCAGATCATATTTGGTTTTTGTTATGAAGCAAATGGAAAATCACACATTAATATCTGAAACTGTATTGATGTGAAAGATGGCAAAAATAAGAGTGATTTTGGAGTGGGGATAATTTATAAAAATTTGAAATCAGAGAATTCAGTTCTTAATTTGAGTAGATTGCATTGTGTTCATTTCCCCCTAACTTTCCAGCTCTTTCTTAAGACTTTTAATATTTTGGTGTTATATTAACCTTGGATCTGCACTGAAAATTGATAGGCATATTGACCTTCTTTTCCTCCCAGGAGATTGGCTCTGAGACGACCAGAAATAATAGTTCAGCCCCTGAAAATTTCCAACAGGAAATCATGTAAGTTTGTTAATAAGAATGCAGACTAACCAAATCTTGGTATTTATTTTTGATTATTAAAGCAGGTATTTGTAGTAGAATGACAGATCATATTACCTTCTGATAGTTTTTGGATCATTTAAAATAGATTAAAATGAATCTTTTGAAGAAAGGGGTGTTAGGAGTAATTTGTAATAAATCCATGGCTCTTTAAGAAAAGGACTAATAACTACTGCTCTTTTTGAATTCTGAATTTAGGTATTTTATTTCTCCAAAGCCAGGAGGTTTGGGTAAGATATTTCTTGGTAAAGATTAGGGGAAAAATTCATCACATTCTTGGACACAATAGCAGTTGCGCCTAAGAACAATTAATTGTTCTTCCTCTTGGTTACCCAGAAATCATAGTAACTCTGATCTTTTACTTGTCTGTTTGGAATTATTACCAGACTAAATTAAAATAAAATAAGAGTAAGAAAAAAAATGACATAAGATAACTGAAAAATATAGTGTAGATTTAGGTGCCTTTTTTTCAGCCCACCTTTCTCTCCCTTCCCTTTACTTCTTAACTCTAAAGTCCCCCATCCCAGAAATTTTCTACTTCAGCTCTTCTAAATGTTTAAGGTATTTTAAGAGTTAAAAAAATATCCCTTTGTTTTCAGCATGGAAATTGTACATTAAAAGGCAAATGAAAAAAATAAATGGTCCTGGAATTTTACACCAACATCTGTTTTTAGTATTGTTGCATTTTTCACATCTCCTGTTATTTCTGTCAGTTTGTAGAAGCTTATAGCCCAGGAATTACATCATTAGAGAGCCAAACTACAGTCAGTATAAATCTCCCAAGCAAGCAAATACTTCAAGTGCAGCACTGATTCAAAAGCCTGCTTGTTCTTGCTCTGCTAAGTCTGAGCAGAAAGAAAAAAACAAACTTGTTGTAGAATGTCACATGTATTGTGACATCAGAAACTTAAAGTTGAATTAGAACGATGCCTTATTTTAAAGTGTGATGAATTTTCACTGACAACTCACCCAGTTGAAAGGACCTTTGAGACATCCATCTCAGTTGCTCTGTGAGAAGTTTAAATTTGGGGCTGCACATTTCTAATATATCTGGTGCATATGGGATAAAATATGTATAACTTAAAAATGAAATTAATGTGATTCTCTTTGAATCTGAATCCATACTCAAATTAGTGCAATTTGATATAATTACAAATTTTCATTTATTTAAAAATGTTGATAAATATTTCTTTGAAGAACTATGTAAGTTGAATAGGTTGTCTTTATAGTACATTTCCCAAACTGGTTTCAGTATAGATGTGCACGAATGTGAGGTGGGGTGTGTGTGTGTGTGTGTGTTTAAGAAATAATTGTAATGGAGGCTTTTTCTGTGTTAATTTGTGTAAATTTTTATATTGATACTTCAGTATTTGAATTTGAGAAATATTTATTTAAGGATTTATTTTTACTGAAATGTCCTCATTTGGATGTTTTAGTATTTTTCTCTCTTTTTTTGCCTCTTTAATATTACTTAAAAATATTTACTGATCCTCCTTTAACCCTTTCTTCCTTATGTTTTTTTCTTTTCTTTATCTCTTTCCTATTTTTATTTTTTACTAAACTCTCATTCACTGAGAAATGCATTGTTTGTTCTCATATATGAATGTTATTTATTTTGAATAGAAATAAATCTGGTCAATATTATCTCAGTTAAATCACGAGTGTATAATATATATGGCCATGTTCAGAGACAGTATATTTTTTATGAAAACTAAATAGAAAGCTAATAACTTTATTCTAAAATAATTAAAATTCATTTTTTATGAGCATTTTTAGTTATTAATAGATATTACCAAATTGCCTTCAGTGAGATTGTACTAGGTAACAATACCATCCACAGTGTATGACCATCATTAATTCATTCATTCATTCAAATGGCTTGCCATTGGCCAGGTCGGGCAGAGGGTACATGATGCGTCCCTCTGCAACTCCCAGGCCCTTATAATCTTAGCATCTTCATTGTTTCTTTTCTTTCCTGTCTCATCTTCTTTAGCATGAATAAATACAGTGTTTCAGAACAGTGTCTGATATAATTCACATAAAATCCACTGTTTTAAAGCGTACCACTAGTAGCTTTCAGTACACTTACAAGGTTATGCAACCAGCACCATTATTTAGTTCCAGAACATTTTCACCACCCCCAAAAGAAACCCCATTAGCAGTCACTTCCCATGATTTCCTGCCTCTAGCCCATGGCAAACATTAATCTATTTTCTGCTCTATGAATTTGCCTATTCTGGACATTTCATATAGATGGAATCATATAACATATGACCTTTTATAACTGACTTTTTTCATTTAGCGTAATGTGTTCAAGGTTCATTCATATTGTGGCATGGGTCAGTACTTAATTTCTTTTTATGGCTGAACAATATTCCAGTGTATGGCTGTATCACACTTAGTTTAACCATTCATCAGTTAATGGGCATTTGGGTTGTTTACACCTTTTGGCTATTAGGAACAATGCTGCTATGAACATTCATGTTTGACTTTTTTGTGAGGACACATGCTTTAATTTCTCATGGGAATATACCTACAATGCCCTACCAAAGTTACACATGGTAACTATACATTTAACTTTTTGAGAAATTGCCAAACTGTTTTCCATAGCAACTGCACCATGTCACATTTCATCAGCAATGTGTGAGGGTTCCAGCTTCTCCACATCCCTGTCAACAGTTGTTATTGTTTGTCTTTTTTATTATAGCCATCAGCGTGGGCATGAAGTGGGATCTTACTGTGTGTGTGTGTGTGTGTGTGTGTGTGTGTGTGTGTGTGTGTGTTTACTTTATTTTTATTGGTGACACTATTGCAGATGTCCCTATTTTGCCCACCTCCACCCAGCCCTCTCCCCCTTCCCTCTGGCCATCACCACACTGCTGTCTGTGTCTATGGGTTATGCATATGTGTTCTTTGGCTAATCTTCATTTGAAATTTTTGTTGTTGTTGTATGAGAACCCCTTAAACTCAAAAGTTATGCAATACTCATGGTACTGGTTTTGAACATTTTTAAAGGCATTTAAAAGCACTTTGTTTTGTAACCTGTGTATTTGATAGTGATATAACTAAATTTTGTAAAGGCCATATGACTCAACACTTCCTGCACTTCAACATTTGGCACTTAAATATTTGGAATAGGACATTCATGTCATCATGCCCTAGGTTAAATTATAGAATAAGGCTATGAAGAAAAACAAAGATGATATAAAATCTTTTATTTTTATGACTCTGAATAATAATTCATGAAGTAGGCTTTAAGAAAAGTGTACAATTTAATACAAAATGTCTAAAAGAATAATTTTGTTATGTTGGTGTTTACACATTTATAAAAAACTATTCATATTGATAAAAATTGTATAAGTGCACTTAAAACCTAGGAAGATATTGTTAAGCATTTAATTTAGAATAATGGCTTCAGTCAGGTAATAGTATATATCAAATTGGGCAGTTAACACTTTTCACAAAGTGGTTGCTTGTATTACTATGATTTTACTCTTTGATTTCACAGTGTATCGTTATAACTAAAGTTTGCATGGAGAAAAAGTTCATAGACGAGGGCTCTGGAACTATAGGGGTTCAGTTGATGTCAACATAGAAGTGAAAAAGGACTAGAGAATCTTAGTCCTAGTATTTTTCATTTAGATTTGTTCTGGAGTGCTGGATCCTAGCTCCATGATAAATAAAATCTGGAGCCGAGATAATGCCAATTTTAACACTGCCATCCTTATGCAAAGCTCTTAAGTGTGGGTGATGTTCATTTTTGCTGCTTGGTTATTTCCTCTCCTTATCTAATACATACCCAGAAAATAGGCTTCTCAAACAAACTAATTTGCCTTTTAAAAATGAAACATACTAGTACCTAACTAAAAACTAAAACTTAAACTCTTAAACATTCCTAAATCTTAGAAACTTGATATAGGGACTCATCTTCTCTTCCTCTTCTTCTTGTTTTTTTATTATTATTTTTTTATTTTTTGAAGAATTGCTTATTTAACAAAGAAATTATTAATAGAATTTTGTGCTCCCTTCTTCCCTCCTTTATGTAATGCTGGGCTCACACTAGTAGATTTATATTAGTAATAGAGACAGAAGAGCAGACCCAGAACTCTGATAGGTTTTCTTTGATATGACCAACTTTTAGAATATTATATGAAAGACACAGGTTAAGTGTTTTGGAAATGAGTAACAGTGTATCTTATGTCTTATGTAGCATATAGGAGTGGTTTTCATCACAAACTTGGCAGCTTGCAATTCATGTGTCGATATAAAGTATTCTGATTTTCTGCTAAAAGCTTATTTTTATAATTCAGTTGCATTTTTAAAGCAGTATTATATCACCTAATCTTTAAAAAGAAATATGCATTTTTGACTACTTGAAATGTTATTTATTTCCATTCTATTGAAATTGAAGTATTAAGTTAAGAATAGTCCTCCTAATAGCATAAATATTAATTGAACTTTAACTTCAATAGGCTGTAATTTATATTTAAATCCAGTTTATATGGTATTCAGAAAAGGCTCTTATTCATATAGTGTATTTTACAGCAGAATATTCAGATATGATATTTATAGTGCTTAGCTTTCTTTTTTTGTTATCAAGATATAAATATCTGAAAATTTCTAACACTGCTGATTGAGTATCAATTATAATTTTTTCTTTTACAAAATAGCTCTTATAGAATTCTTGTAACTTAAAAGAACAAAATGTACACCTTTTTGCCTTCTAAAGATGGTAAAAGCACACAAAATATTTTATTTTAGAATTTGTTTTAACCAGTTGTGATCGTTACCATGTGGGTAAAAAAGATCTTTTACTGCAGCCAAAGGGCCATTCAAAAAGGGTATAGCCAAGTTCATTCAAAGACAATCATTTTGTGGATTAAATATCACAATTTACTAACAACCGAATTTAAACACTGACTAAATGAATGAGTTCACTCTATGTGGAACCAATATCCTGGAAGGCCAACTATTTGCAAATAATACATATAACATTACTCTACAGGTTGTTAATACAACCTTCAAGTTGAGTAAGCTCCTTCCTCCTAGCATCTTAAATAATGTTTATTTAGTGTGTTCACCCACAAACTTAATTCATAAATTAAAAATTAAATCAGAAATTAACAAATAGAGTATATTAAACCTTTATGTGTGAAACATTGTCAAACATTTTCTTAATATTGGTGGGATTTTTTGTAGCAGAAACATATGGGGTTTTAGAAAATAGTAAAAGTATTTTTTCCCCCTAATACTAATTGATACTCTTTGGAGATGCCAATGTTTAGTTTGTGTGGAAAGAGGTGCAGATTAACTGAGCTGTTAATTGCATGTCTGATTGATTACTTAATGTCATGAGATTGAGGTGAAGGCCTTGCTAATGGTATTGCTCACTTTTTGTCTCAGTAAACTGTGTTCTTACATATATGAATATGTTGCTTGTAAAGCACTACCAGGGGATGTGATTTTAGCTTCTCCGTATGAAGGATTCTAGGTCGTACTGTCTCTTGCCTTTTGTCTGGGGATCCTGTGCAGTGTAGGTTAAGAGTTGATTAAGGTTAGGGGTCTGGTCAGTGTTCATGGATTATTGCAGACTTGTAGGGAAGATTGCAGTGCAGGGAGTATAAGAAAGCCATATCTAGGGTGGTGAGTTAACTTTGCCCCTATCACACCTACATAGACACCATTTCCCTACTTGTCCAGGATATCAGACATGTCTCCTTCAGAGTAATGTCCAGCAGCTTGGGAAAGCTCTCCTGCCCTGTCTTGCAGAGCTCATGAAATATTTTTCACGAGAGCTTTTCCACTACATTCTCTGAAGAGAACAAAATTGTTCTTTGTGACCTGTTGGCCTTTCTTTGCCTTTTATAATTTTACCATCCTGCTCTTCAGTGCTTGAAGATGTAGAGAGTGGATTCCTGATGAGGCTGGGGAGAGAAGCTGGCCCGGCCCCGCCCTCTTGTCAGGAGAAACATGTGAGAGGTTGAAGCTGCTGGGTTGGGGGGGCAAGAGGCTGGCCTGGTGGCAGGCAGTGGGAGTAAACAAGAAACTTAAAAGAAATGTATTTCCCTTGATTTCTCCCCTGTTGGGGTCCAGCCCCAGCAGGTCCAGGGGTTCCCAAAGGTGTGGACGGAGTCGGCGAAGAATGAAGGACATGGAGGCAGCGTTCAGTTGATCATCAGCCTAGCCAGGTTCTTTAGCCAGGTTCTCCAACCAGGTTCTGTCTTTTATTGTCTTGTTACATTTGTATTTATACCAGTTGATTTTAATCCTGTCAATTTCTATTCCAAAGGTTAGGGCGTTTCTTATCTCCATTCCAGGGAGTAAAGATTATGTAGCTTAAGGGTGATTGTTCGTAGTTAAAGTGATTAACTACCCGCCTGGCATTTAGTTAAGGGGTTTTATTCCCTCCCTAACTTCAGGGAAAAATCCCTACCTTGGGAAACAACCTTTCTCAGAGAGGTGACCTTGGTTAAAACACATAGTGCCAAGAAGGTGAGCAAACATATTAAGAACAGTATGCCATATACGCCAGGTCCCTTGAAACATATGCTGTGCAGATGTTTCTTCCCTGCAGCGACTGTGTCAAGCAGCAAGGATGGACCGGCTTCCGGCACTCCCCCATCTTTATTTTCCAGCTTGAAGTTGAAGAAATTAAAAGGCAATTTTGATGTGATAGTATTGCATAGTGATTGAAAACTCAAGTCTGGAGCCAGACTGCATGTGTCCAAATCCCAGTTTTGCCACTTCTAACACCTTCGTTTCTCTATATCTCTGATTCTGTAAAATGGGGAAAATAGTATTTGCCTCATAGAGTTGTTGGAGAATTAAATAAGTTTATGCATTTAATGTATACAGAAAAGTGCTTTAACATAGTAAGAATCATGCCCGCATCCCAACTCGCTTCCAAGATCAACCTTTTGTGTAGTTTTCCTCTTTGTTCAAATCGGTAAGTGTAAGGAAATGTTCATTTGCTTTTCCTACGGGATAACTGGTAATGTCCAAAGATACTTTGTATTGGAGATATGTATGTGTGTTTTATTAAGCTAAATACCATTGTCTTCCTACTTAAGTAATACATGGAGGAAATACTCTTTTTGAGGATTTGTGCGGTATATTCGTGACCTTTTCTTAGGATATGAAATACACATATACTATATGTAATGTAAATTAGAGATGTTTATTTTTATTGTGAGTTAATTTTGGTGTTTTAATTTTTGGTGTGTGTGTGTGTGTGTGTGTGTGTGTGTGTGTGTGTGAGTGTGTCTATGACATGACTTTTATCTGCTGTACATGGCACTGGTTTTTTAATCAATCTATCCTATTGTTCCTGTCAGAAAATATACTATTTAACAGTCTACTTTACGGCAGAGTGTCTGGGGTTGAGATTGATCAATTTTAAGCACTGCTTGGATTATTTTCATCATGCCTACTTGCTTGGCTTGGCTAACCCATACCACATTGTTTATTGCTTGTTTTCTAATAATTTGCTTAGATACACATTGCTTTTCAGAGCTACTAAGAAATGAGTATGAGTGAGCTCACAATGTGGGCACCTGATAATATGAACCTGAATAATAATGGTTTGCTTGTCACTTTGCTAATACTGTTCAAATAGAACCAGTACAGTTTGAGGACGCATAGGTATTTGAAAGTAAAAATAACATGGTACACACTTTCTCCTCAGTGTTTTCTTTGACTGCCAATCTATAGTTTGGAGACAGAAGGGAGCAGAGAACTGTTATGATCAATCCCATTCACTCTGTAAGGTCATGTAGCAAAATATGTTCCACCTTGATTTGAGGTTAGATTTTGCTTCTGTTAAGTTGCCAACTCTTTTTCTACCTTTACCTCAAGGTGAGTCTCCTAAGTCAAACTTGACTCTTAAATTACTTACTGTCCTATTAGTAATTTAAGAATTGTTCAGGATTACTTTTAAAAATACCTTTCATCAAAGTATATGGACAGAATGAATATAAAAGGTTCTGCCTGACTCATTTTACATGTGTAATAAGTTGATAATTGTTAGACTATTATTCAGTTTATAAGATATTTAAACACTTTAGGGGAAAATTGGTTATATCTAAAATGTTTGGGTTTGTGTGTTTTTGTGTGTTTTTTTTTTTGCTATTTTTATCATGAAATATCTTCAGTGTTGAACAGACAGATTAGTTTACAGACAGAACTCTTCTATGAAAAATAAATATGATCCCCTTATTGAGGGTATTAGTTTGCAAAAATGCTAACTTTTTTTCTTGACTTTTTCCCCTGGAGGTGTATTAATAAGCCATATACAGGCTTTATGTTTTCACTGCTTAAGTATGTACATTCTTTTTAGACCAAGACTATAGTGCAGTCTAAAATGTGGTTTCTCATAATTCTATTTATTTGTTGACAAATAATTTAAAATATTTACAGAACAATTGTTTTTTTCCTTTGGCCCTTCTAAGATGAGGAAACAGTTGAGTGTGGTAGGTGGATTTTTTTTTCCCCTTGGTTGTAGTGTCTTTCTACTTTAATTGTATTTTCTGCATATTTAATCATTTTCTTTCTCATTTTCCTTTGTGCTTCTCAGAGGAAATTAAAGGTACATGTATAAAAGCTTCCCTGCATAGTCTAGTAATTTTATTTAGTACACGTATGTGTTGGGGTTAAATTAAATATAGTAAGATAAGCAGTTTATAGAAGATTATTGTACATTCAAACTTCCAGCTTAACATTACAGTATCAAAAGTCATGCTTTGACTTTGTTTTAGAAAGGAATGTACTTTTTTTTTGCTTCATATAGCAGAAATACAGAAAGTTATTTCACATACAGAACATTGTTTTCTTCTCTGTCCAAGGTCTCAAATAAAGGTGAATGAAGAAAACAATGTTATTTAAATATATTGAAAGACTTATTTTAACGTAAGGATGTGGGGAGAATCTTTTCAACTACTTGATTTCTGCACAAGCTGTACTGTTAGTTCTAGAAGAATACTGTTGTGAAGATTAGAAGTTTTTAAGACATAAATAACCCAGTATTTAATTCCTAGAAATAATAGCACATTGTTTATTTTTAAATGTTTTCATCTGTTCATTTTTAAACCAAAATAAATATAGAAATATTATGCCTTTATTTCTTTCCAGCACAGAATCTCTTCTTATCAAAGAAAGGCTGTACCTTAATCTTAATCTTGCTGTCTAATCCCATGAGCCAAATAAGTGCTGTGTTTTACATATTAGCAAAGAGCCTGATTTGCAAAAATAAATTTACTTGGGGGATCAAGTGTTGTCATTCCCTTAACTGTGAAAGTTATAAACATCTCAGGCAAGTCTTTTATAATTTTCTTGGAACTGCAACAAGGAACCTCTGAAGGTTGAAAAAGAGTTGTATGACGTTTCGAAATGCTACTTTCAACTTAAATATAAAACAAAATGTTTTATGTTTAAGAGTGGCATTGTGAGGGCTGTTCTCTGCTGTGCTTCACATAATTGTTTTAAGTAATTTATTTTTTTGCATCCGTGGCTGGGCTTCTAACTTCTGCTTTATTTCTTGGCTTTTGTTCTGTACGCTTTTACACTCCATCCAGAAGATGCTGACTATGCTGGTAACAACAGTGGAGCCTATCTAGGTGAGCAATTGGGCATGGAAGAGGATGTCTTTCTTTCTGTTGCTTTCTTCAAAACTATTATATTATTTTATCCTAAATTAGCATATTTGCATTAGCATGGCCTGACAATTAGTGGGGGGTAGCATGAACCCTTATATTAAATAGGCTCAATGGGTTGGACACAAAGGAATTCATAGTGTGCTTTGATTAATATTCAAGAAGCTTTCCAGATGTCATATTTTTGTAAACCATTACATATATTTTTTTTTGAGAGGGGATGTAAAAGTATATATTTGTGCTAAGTAATTTTACTCCATTAACAGTATCTGGACTTTGCTAAATAATCTCGTTAGCTGTGAATTATTCAAAGTTTCTAAGCAACTTATATTTTTTTAAATATCTTTTTAGTTATGTGTTCTAATGATTTATTATTCCCTTAACAACTCCCACCCCCCAATAACCATTGAATGAGCAGCTCCAAATATTAAGCTTCATGATTAACTTGCTAATCTGTATTGGAAGGAAAAATGTCCAGTTTAGAGATGTTAAGGAGCGGGTAAGGAGGTAGTAGGGGAGTGATTAACTGGGAACTTATATGCAGATATGCATTACTCATGGACACAGACAGTAGGGTGGTGAAGGTCTGGGAGGGGCAGGTATGGGGTGGAGGGAGTCAATGGGGAAAATAACCCACAAGCAAAGGCAACATCTATAATACTTTCAGGATAAAGATAAATAAAATTTTTTTAAATCCCCTAAAAAAATAGAGATGCTAAGGAATATTATAAACAAAAGCCAAGATTTTTAAATTGTTAAAGGTGTCTGAATTGTCTTCATTTACATATCACTTCAGACCTTTCCCACCCTTGCCATGTATCGGCACACTTGTCAGTCCTCTGCTTTCAGTTGTAAGAGGTAATAGTGTAAAAACACAGATTTAGCCCTAGCTGGTTTTGCTCAGTGGATAGAACATTGACCTGTGGACTGAAGGGTCCTGGCTTCGATTGTGATCAAGAGCACATGCCTGGGTTGTGGGCTCAACCCCTAGTAGGGGGCATGCAGGAAGCAGCCTATCAATGATTCTTTCTCATCATTGATGTTTCTCTCTCTCCCTCTCCCTTCCTTTCTGAAATCAATAAAAATATATTAAAAAACACAGATTTAGAGAGAACTGCTTCAAGCTCATTTGCAAATTAATATTTATGTACAGTTGACACTTGGACAACATGGATTTGAACTACCTGGGTTCCACTTACACATGGATATTTTTCAATAAACATATAATCAGCCCTGTATCCCCGGGCTTCCCATCCACAGATTCAATCATCCATGGATCAAAAACAGTATTTTCCATTTAATGTTTGGAGTAGGCAGATGTGTATGCATTGTTCTATGCCATCTATATATATAAAAGGCTAATATGCAAAGTGTCCCCTCAAGAGTTCCACCGGGAGACCGGAGTTCGATCACTTGCTATGACGTGCGCTGACCACCAGACGCGGAACAAAGGAAGGCCCCGGCCAGCAGCTGGAAGACCCCGATCGTCCCTGATCACTGGCCAAGCCTAGGGACCCTACCTGTGTACGAATTTCATGCACCAGGCCTCTAGTTTTATATAAGGGACTCAATCATCTACAACATTTGCTATCCATGTGTGGGAGGGTTTCTGGAACCAATCCATTATGAATACTGAGGGACAACTGAGTTTGGGGGGAGTCAAAAGTTACACATGGATTTTTGGCTGAGCAGGGGTCGATGCCCCTAACCCCCATGTTCACGGGTCAGCTGCATATGATAATATCTCTTGGTTATTGTAGAAATGTGCCAGATAACATATTTTGTATTTAATATATATTATCTCTAATACTGTGAGATTGGTGCTATTTTATCCACTTTATAGAAAGAAAACAGAAAGTTTGAAGGGTTTACCTAAGGACCTAAAGACAGTAAATGGTGCATTGTAGTTTCAGATCCACATCTGTGTAACTATAATACTCTATCCTTTAAAATATGCTGCCCTCACCCAGCTGGCATGGTTCTGTGGTTGAGCATGGACCTATGAACCAGGAGGTCACGGTTCGATGCCTGGGTTGCATGCATGATCCCCAGTGTGGGGCATGCAGGAGGCAGCTGATCAGTGATTCTCTCTCATCATTGATGTTCCTCCCTTTCTCTCTGAAATCAATAAAAATATATTTTAAAATATATATATGCTTCCCTCTAGTTCATTCTACAAAACAAAAACCCATGCAAAAAATATAGAATATTGCGATTTTTAGCTTAGAAAGACTATAGTTTACTAAGACAGAATTCAATGATCAGAGTTAAGCTTTCATTAATTCTTTACTCATTGCAGAACAATGCAGTGTGCCAGATACTCTGTATATTGACTAACACCTCCCTTAACATCTTCAGAAACTGTAATAGCTTAACACAGCAAGCATTTATTATTTTCCCAATTTTGTGGTGAGCTGGGTTGTTCCAGTTTATTGGCTTGGTGGATCTTTGCAGTCTGGTAGTTTGGAGTCTATTGGTCTGGGGGGCAGGGAGGCGCAGTGGTGCAGCTGGGTGAACCTGTTTCTGTTTCCTGTCATTGTTTACCCTCCAGTAAGCTAGCCATTCTAGTGGCCTTCCAGAGTGCAACAGAGATAGCAGCCCTGGTATGGAAGTGCTGTTGAAGCCTCTGCGCACATCACATCAGGTCCCTTGGCCAAAACAGTCTCATGGCCAAGCCAGAGTCCGTGCGGGAGACCACCTGAGGGCTTGGGTCCTGGGAGAGGTGAGTGGACAGCCATGACTGCAAGCTACTACCTCTCAAAATAGAGAGAGGGGTGCTCAGTCTTCTCACTTTAAGGGCTGTGTACTCTTGTCAATTAGACGGTGTATGTCTATCTATTGGAATAACTATGGCATAAAGCTTATCTGATGAGTGTCACATAAAATGGCATAACTCACAGGGAGAGGTGATCATCTCAGCCTACGGCCAACGAGGGACTCACTCCCATGAGAGATGACGTTAAAACGTCTCCATGGATTGGCTGGAATTATAGTGCAGCGGAGGATGAAGGCAGAAACAGTAGCATGGAAGTGCCACGCTGTCATCTTCCCAGCCCTGTCATCTACATATCACCTAAACTTAAATATGCCTTGTGCTCTCAACAGTCATCTCTCTCCATCTACTGCTCCTGCCTTCATCCTCCGCTGCACTATAATTCCAGCCAATCCATGGAGTCGTTGTAACGTCATCTCTCATGGGAGTGAGTCCCTCGCTGCCTTAGGCTGAGATGATCACCTCTCCCTGTGAATTATGGCATTTTATGTGACACTCATCAGATAAAGTCTTATGCCATAGTTATTCCAATGGATAGATATACACCGTCTAATTGACAAGAGTACACAGCTAAGAAAGAAGTATTAGTGTTGACAGAATACAACAAGATTTTTCTACCTATCTAGCATCCATAGGGTTTTGAAATTGCAAGCCCTAATTATATTGTATAGCTATCCACTCCATTCAACTCCTGGTCTTAAAAACAATAGTAATCCTTGCCCTGCCTTACTGTGGCCAAGGGAAAACATGGCCAATGTGTTTAATATATGTGCATGATGGCCTCACTTCTTTCTGGTCTAAATGCTTGTTCTGACACATTATGCGCCTAGAAGTTGGTTTAGCTGCTGCAAAGGCAGGGAATATAATACAGTAAGGTGCCTAGGAAGAGAAGCCTACAATGAAAAGATTTTTTTAAAGAATATGTGATAATAGAATGCATAAACTAATAGTGTTTCTGATAAAAGTTTCTTCTTTTGAGGAAACGCTTCAACTAATGACCCCCGAACAATTTGAAATGATTTCTTTTGCAGAATAAACAAGTTTGATTGTATTCTCTGGTTATTTTAATATATATTATTATTATTAAAACTATATTTTAGCCCTAGCTTGTTTTCCTCAGTGGATAGAGCATTGGCCTGTGGACTGAAGGGTCCCGGGTTCAATTTCAGTCAAGGGCACATGCCTGGGTTGTGGGCTCGATCCCCAGTAGGGGACATGCAGGAGGCAGCCGATTGATGATTCTCTCTCATCATTGGTGTTTCTCTCTCTCCCTCTCCCTACCTCTCTGAAATCAATAAAAATATATTTAAACAAAAACAACAACAAAAAAACTATATTACAGTAGGTCCCCCCCCCCCATCTTATTCATGGTTTCCTTTCTATAGTTTCAGTTACCTGCTGTCAACCACGGTCTGAAAATATTAAATGAAAAATTCCGGAAACAATTCATAAGTCTTAAATTGCTTACCTTTCTGAGTAGTGTGGTGAAACTGGCACCATCCTATTCTGTCCACCTGGGATGTGAATCATCCCTTTGTCTGCTGTCTCCACGCTGTGTATGTTACCTGCTCATTAGTCACTTAGCCATTTCAGTTATCAGACCCACTGTTGCTGTATTGCAGTGCTTGTTTTCAAGTAACTTACTTTAATTAGTAATGACCCTGAAGTGCAAGGGTAGTGATGCTGGCAATTCGGATATGCCAAAGAGAAGCTATAAAGTGCTTCATTTAAGGACAGGTGAACATGTTCAACTTCATAATGAAAAAAATACTGTATGCTGAGGTTGCTAAGATCTATGGTAAGAACAAATCTATCATGAGATTGCGAAGAAAGAAAAAGAAATTTGTGCTAGTTTTGCTGTTACACATCAAACTTTACCAAAGTTACAGGCAATAGTACATGATAAGTGCTTAGTTAAGGTGGAAAAGGCATTAAATCTGTGGATAGAAAACATGAACAGAAATGTTATTGGTTATTGTTAATCTCTTACTGTGCATAATTTATGTTTATTAAGTTGGGGTGACATGGGTTAATAAGATTATATAGGTTATATATATTTATATAGGTTTCAAGTGTACAATTCTATGATATACCATCTGTGTATTGCATTGTGTACCCACCACCCAAAATTAAATCTCGTTCCATCACCATATACTTGCTCCCTCTCTCCTTCATTAGCTCCCCTTCCCCT